TTTGCCATGGTGGGAATGTGGCTGATGTATGCATATCCCGGTCAAGGATATGCGAAGGGTTTATTGCCATGAGCCGGTGACCGATTTGTTAAATTTGAAAATTAAACAACCAGGTAACGTATTTATTCGTTATACGTACAATGTAAACAATAATGTTATGAACACGCGGATCAACACTCTGAACGTCCGTACACTTCGAATGCTAAGGCGCTACTATATACATTTTTAAAACTATCAATCTTTCTCTTACAATTATAACAGAGACGAAGAGAGGTAATTGCTAATCGTACAATAACCTTTTGTATTCTAACATTATAATTTAAAAGCAGTATATTACAAATTATACTACACAGAATGAAAGTTAAGAAGTAATACAAAATTAAACATAGATATGAAGTTATTTCATATTATTTGAATTGTACTATCCAATGAACATATAATAATAATAACAGTAGATTATCGAAGAAAGAGAATGATCGTATGATCAGATAGATTAAAATCGAAAGTTAGAATGAATATCGCTACAAACAATACGATATTACACATAGAACATCAGAAAAATTTGATTTAAAGAGTGCTCTCAGATAGTCAACTTGAAAACTTACATTTCTGTTACTTATCGCGGATTGCGTCATTACGATTGGGAATTTTACACGGCTCCGTATGTAACATATAAATGATTTGTATGAATGCATCCATATATACGAATAAGCATATATGTTTTCATGTATTTTGAATATTACATGCTTTTATGAGATCGTATAGTCTCTATATTCTAACATTCATTAAAGATACTAACAATAAGAACAAGAGAAAGAAAAAGAGAGTGATATGAAGAAAAGAGAGAGGGAACACACAAGAGCGGTGAAGTTAAATGTTGCTGATTCTTTCACTCTAGTTGGAACCGCCATTGCCATTCTCGTGGGAAAAGTAATCGGTCAGAAAGAAAGAAATGTGAGTTGCGGGTGCACAATATATACATGCAAGAGTATATATATTGCACTTATGTTCCACGCTTGCTTTGCTGTGTGCGCACGCGCGAACACGGACGCGTGTCCAAGCCACGTGTCTCCTGATCTTACTGTCAAGATCCGGATTATTTCTTCTTTAAATTTTCTTTATAGGATTTATTTATTTTATTTTTCATTGTGTTAATTAACATAGAAGATCAAATTATTGACTTTCTAAGAAAGTTCGTGCCGATTTATAAATATTATATAATATTTACTCGATTTATATTTGTAATATGTTATACAGATTGTATAAAATTATCACACAGTTTGATGTTATACACATTTTTTGTTTCTACAAGTCGGCACGAATTTTCCGGGTAAGGCAACGATTTAATTATTGGGTTGCTGGTAAGGTTTGTTCTGATTTAAAAGTGTATATATATATATATATATATATATATTTGGTACATATTTTTAAGTATTTTGTGTGTATGTTACTATTACCTTGTGAACTGTTAATTCATGAAATAATTAAACAGACCGATTAAAGTAGGAAATAAGACAAAATTACTTACTTCAACTGGGTAAGATATGAATTCATATGAAGCGGGTAGTTAAGGTATGAAATATGAAATTTGATCCGTAGATTAGTTCCGATAAAACAGCACGATTAATAGAACATTGGTTTTCAAAGTATAGAAATAGATAAGAACAGTTAACTACAAGCAATTGTTGTAGAAAGAAAAGCAGACTTTAAAGTTTCAATCAAGTTTTACTTTCATCTCGCCTCTTGTAAATTCATATATAACCTATTTATTTCCTAAAACAATTAGTTCAAGTGTATAATAAGATTTTTTTTATATGCTTTTTGCTTTATAAATCTAGGGTTTTCACGATTAAATTGAAGTATACAATATAATAGTGTCAAGTGTATTTACGCTTATCATTGTAATGTATCATGTTAGCGTTAATGTATTGCGTCAAGAAAAATGATTACATCTCGTTCTTTCATGCTTTGGTTTCTCCAGGATATTTCTTTCTTTCCACCTTCTATCTCTTTTTTCTGTTCTTTGTGACCTATCTATCTACATACTATATGAATATTCTTAACTACGCACGACTATGAGATCAGCTGCGATGATATTACCAACAAGGTGCCAACACATCGAATGCTACATATCACGAATGACTGATTTCCTCATTTTTTTGACAACTTGTATTCGGAATGTGTTACAATTCACGTATTGGAAAGTAATCCTCATAAGGTTTGATTGTAAGATAACGAAAGATATGAAAGTGATGTAAAAATCATAAAAGTCGTAGATATAAACCGTAGATATAAATCGTTTCCTCTTGGATATTTAACCGTTAAATTGGATCGGTTTTATTAATTGGCATAATTCATAGTTGGAACGATCCGATTTTGTATCTTTCGTTTGAATGGGAAAGAAAACGTTTGTGGCTACCCAGGAAAGTGTTTTTTCTCCATGTTATTTGATCCATCCTGTCGCCGGCCGCATCTCGTTTCGCTTTAGTACGATCGACGTCCTAGAGAAAGAACATTTCTTATATTTAAAAGACTTTGGGAACATATGTATCTTTATAGAAATGTATGTGCGCACCTGTGATCTTTTCACCTTCGACTTTCGATAATATTTTCAACGTCTAGAGAACGGCCTTGAATTTATTTTCTTCTATGAAAAGTTCTTATATATATATCCTTCCTTAATTTTGTATTATCACTTCTAACATTATTCATTTCATTGTGTCAGAGTTCTCAATTTAAAAAAATTAAAACAAAAAATAAATCAATAAGAAAATACTTATGAGCTTATAAAGTTGACTTTCTTCATATTTCCAATATTTGAATTGTTTAAATACATATCAGGATTGATTGATTTATTATACGTAATTCATATCGAGTTATAGACATTTACAAAACAAAATTAAGAAAAGATAAAAATATACAAATTTGAAATACTCGGAGAAGTTGAAGTTTTATTAATTGTAAATAAAGAGAAACTTAGAATCGATGTACATTCTTGAACAGAAATCAAGTTTGACGATGATCCACTTTGAAAGTTATCATGTCATTACTTTTTCTTCCCTTTTATTAAGTTATTTTATTTCTAAAGATAGTGTGTTGATAGAATATTTTTCAAACATCTTCTCTTTCGAATCAGTCTCTCATGCTTTTCGTTTTCGTTATCCTACTTATTAATAGTTTCTGGTTTACCTTCTATCCTATTTTCTCTTTTTAATGATCAAAGATAGATAGATAGATAGAGAGAGAGAGAGAGAGAGAGAGGAAAGATATCTTTTCCAATAGAATTGAGTTATAATCGCTTGAATTTTCACTTTACTCTATCTTTCTCTTTCTATTACAGTTTACATCTCTCACTGTCGTTTGAGTCGAGTCTTTCCTTTCCTTTCCTTTCCTTTCCTTTCCTTTCCTTTCGACGCGAAAGCTTTCTGACTTTCACGTCCTTCGAGAAAAATTACCCTCACATTGTTGCCCTGAGTCACGAATGAACGAACGAACGAACGAACGAACGAACGAACGAACGACGAACGAACGCTGATTCACAGTTCGAACCGTGTGAAATTTGACGAGAAACGAGTATATAAAGATTACTTTGTGTGTATTGATTTACAAATATAATTCTTTTTTTTCGTCTTTTCAAATATTGACGACTTGTACAGAAAATGTTCAATAAAGGATTTAAATTGTAGTCCTTGTTGCGCCACTTTATACATTTTCTGTACTTTTTCTTTCGTATGTATATAAATACATGAAAATTCCATTGAAATACATATGGTACAATATGACAAACATATTTTTTTGCAAAATATAAGAAAGATAGGAATAAATATGTAGATTGTATCTAAATCATCGCATCTACTTTATTCTATTCTATTATTTTCATTTTTAAATGTATGCTTTCGTATAAACTTTTCAATAAGATCAAAATATAATTAAAATTTGTATAGAATTTTATTCAAAAGAACTAACTTTGCATCATAATTTTGGAAAGACTATATCTAATAGAAATATTACGATTTTATTACAAATTTTCAATCTCTAATGAATTAAAAATAAATTTCATATTATTTTCATGATTTTAAATTATAAATTAAAGTACAACGATACGATTTAATTTCTGCCTGATGGCATCCTTTTCTTCTTTCGACACATAAGGATTCGTTAGTGGATCTGAATTTAATCTGAAATAAAAATCAAAATGTATGTATGTGTTAATTTAAGTGGACTTGTATTTAAATGGCTTGTAAATGAATAATACTCGTGTTTTTATTTCAATGACTTAATCAATTAATTACCTATAATATTGCGGCGCTAAAGCACAATTAACGTTGTACCACCAATCACAACCGAAGTCTTGTTGATTAAAGAGAGTACCATTTGTGCAGAGAAACGAGGCTCCTTGCGAACCTTCTCTGCCATCGTGACATATGTGATACGCCTAAAATATTATAATCAGATATAAATGTCAAATTATAAAAAACGATAATTATTTATTCTAATTTATAATTACAATTAAAATTAAAGGTATACCATTTAAAAAATGTATATTATTAACAATTAGGATGATTAAAAAAAGACACAGATTATTTTTTTCTAACAATAGAAAGACAAACGTATAAAAATGGAGACATGCGTAATATTAGATATATAAAAAGAGTGTTGGCGAAGAGTCTCGAGAAAAGTAAATGAGGATAGAAAACTGGTGACATTCTTCTCGAAGAAAGTTCGACGTCGCGGAAAGTAAAATCGCGATGCATGACCGTAAATATAATATTATATACACGTTCATTTGGATGTACGTTTCAGTTATTATATTACAGCTAAGTATAACACACATCGTCTTTTTCTAGATTCTATCGCAAAATAAAAATAAGAGTTCAATCGATTATCGATCAATTGTCTACATTATTTCTCAAATGTTAACCGAAATGTTAGAAAAATAAGGGAGAAATATGTTTTTTTTTTGTATGAAAAGGAATGAAAATTGAATATAATATATTGTCAAAGGTATTACGTATAAGATACGATTTCTCAAGTAACATATGTATGCAATCATAAAAGTATAACGTCCGTCATGTTGTAAGTCATAAGTCGCATTAGAAGAGTTTCCTGAGTCCTTCATTAACTGAATTAACATCGACGACTGTTTCCCTTCCACTCTCCTCCCTAACTGTTGCTTCATAATTATATGCTCTGCTTATCCGATTATTCGCTGAGCTCACGATGCCAACTACGAGAGTGGATAAGAATTACTTGAGACTTTGTAATTTCATTCAATTCCAATTGAACTCTCTATGCAATCCAATTCGTGTGTGCTTTCGACAAAGAAATTTTCCAAAATTTATCAAATAAGATATGAAAGAAAATTTGGAAAATTATACGCGAGTAAATGTTTATTGTTTTTTATTTTGTTTTAAATGCGATTCCACAGTTCAATAGCGCCAGAGAAGGTTAATATATTTGTTCTCTGTTTTACAAGATACTTGGAATCGAAATAATTGTAAGAATTATACAAATTCCTGTTAAATAATCGGTACAATCAAAGGATTCGAACGTAATTAAGGATTTCTTAATGAAAGTTCTCTCGTCTTCCGATCTATTGCGATATACTCGGTAATTTGCTCTTAGATAAATTACATTACAACAATGAGATAGAATTGGTAATTTCTTGAAGTTGTTCAAGAGAATAAAGAAAATGTGCGAATAAAGAAAATACAAGTGAAACAATGTAAAAAACACGTTAAGATTTATATATATATATATATATATATATATATATAAATAATCGAAATAATTTGATTGTTAGATTAATCCTATAAGTAGATCGATATTGTGGAGTACAAATAGATCGAAGTTATAATACGCGTTAAAATGTAATAGTATACTTTTCGATATTCGCATGGTATGGACTTTCATTGTTGGAGTCCTTGATTCAGGACGTTCTTTCTAGTTTATCAATGTTGGAAATTCAATCTCCAAGCTCGCGGAAGGATTATGCAACATTATGAAATATTTCAAACGTTTAGGCGTACGCTCTCTTGCCTTTCTATAACGAAATCTATGATCGTGTTTCAAATCTAGATAGAAAATATACATATATTTGATAAAGTTATCAATTAAAATCAAAATTGTATCTTATTACAATATTGATAGTTATAATTAAAAGAATTTCTAATATTCGAGAAAAATGATTAGACAGTTTGAAAGTTAGTAAAAAAAAAGAAAACAAGAACAGTTTATATTGATAAAGAATAATCCATAAGACTATTAAGATATTGATTTACCTGACAACCGGTCTCTACATTTGCGTACATTCCTGGTACATGTGGTACATGTGCACAAGAGAAACTGGTCTTTGGTACGCTGTGATAAATCGGGTAGTCTACTCCAGGTATACCTGGAATCTTACTTAAATCTTGCTGATCCTTCTTAGGGAATTCTGGAACGACAATTGGCTTTCGGAAATTTACCACAGGCTGAAAATTCTGATAGCCATCATCGTAGTAGTCGAAATTCGCTGCACGTTTCTACAAAAACAACAATATAATCGTCAATTCTATTTACATAGAAAATAATATAACTCATCGACTATATCATTCGACGTAAGATTTAACCATTTTCTTAACTTGTTAATTAAGAAAAAGTGCGACTGCGACAGAGAAAAACACTTACATTAGCCTTCATCAGGCCAAGGTAAAGTCATTTTTCGTCATCATTGTCGTAGTTATTTTATTTAATCGACTCGAACGAACATTGATTATATACTATATCTACCTGACGGTGATCGATGATCGACGGTGATAAATTATATAAAAGTAATTTCACAATAATTTCTTTTTTCTTTCCTTATCGCGTCACATTCAAAGAAAAATTTGGGGAAAAAGATCAAAATCGTAGGACAAGGTGAACGTAAAAAGAGATGTCCCTCTGTACAAACCAGTAAGAATTATCTGCTAATTATCAAGTGAATTATTATACACATTAGGCTCACTGGATGGTTTCTTCGCGATCGTAAATATATTTCATGGAATACAACCGGTGATTTTAACGTTCTCATCATGAGTTGTAATTTTTCTTCTTCAACAGAATGAAAACGAGGGAAATTAGATGAGTTGGAATTTCGATTTCTTTCTTTTCAGTATTTTTTGGTTTGTTTTTGTATTATTTACCTGCTGAACGACGCTGTCAGATACGATGACAACCGCAAGGGTGGCGAAAAGAAGCGCAATAAGGACACCGTTAATACTTAACATGTCCGTACCGGGTTTGATGATAAACGAAACTAGTTCAGTTTCTGTTGAACCGCGAAGAGAGAACACAGTTTACCAGGTGTGTAAGAAATTATGTCACAGTTGAGAGAGAGAAAGTCTGTCTGTTCTGTAACACCAGTTCAGAAACTAACTCCTTCCTTCCCTTCTATCCATCTTACCCCCACCTTATATTTCTTTATACACTTGTATATACGCTGGTATACCATATAGAGTATTTCCACATTTTTTGGCATAATTTCACAGGGGTAGTTTCTCATTACGAATCGTAGGACAAGGACATTTAAAAAAATTCCTACAATCATATGCCCATTATCATCTTGGGACATATCACCATCTTGTATATGGTGTATAAGTATAAATATATATAATTGTAAGTATATATGTATCTCTACAACACCACCACCACCACCACCACCACCACCACCACCACCACACCACCACTGACGTAAATAATTTCAATAATTTAAACAAGGTCTCAATTGTAACTTCCTCATTTGTATCAATCAATTTATTTACATTAGGGTAAATATCTTTTTATTCAACAAATAATTTTATTGATATTTTCTTATTCGTTGTTTTTTAAATTACGATTTCGTTACTCTGTTTTGTTTTTTTATTTTTATTAAGGTAGGATCGTGCCCGAGGAGAATGCCAACGCCGTTGAAAATTATAATGCAATTCAAGCGTAATAGTTTGAGTGAAAAAGAAATGATTTTGTGGTATTTTACCAACATAATGCGAATATTTACAGAACTCAGGATCTATTATTCTGATTTTTCCCGCTATGCTATCAAAATGGTATAATTTAGAGATGGTATAATAATACTAAAATGGTATAGTAAGTTAATGTTTTTATCGTAGCTTTTCAGATACATTTTTCTTTGATTTAATTTATTATAATAGAGAGTATGTTCGATTTGTACATTTTGTCTAATGTAAATTACTATTTATTTCGTTGAATGAATCATTTTATTCGCAGTTTTCTACTATGTTACCCCTGTAAATAAAATAGGTTCCTATTATTTTTGCTCGGTATGTAAGACAGACCTCTACTATAAGGATCGTGCGAATCATGTTCAAGAAACAAAGAATACAGCAGTACACAGAGATTATAAAGAATAAGAATACACAAGCTCTCGCAAGTCTACTTTTAGCGTAATCACTTTCATCTTAGTTACTAGCGAGACCACAAGAGGACGATAGTAGGTACTTAACGCGATGACGGTATAATACTATCAAAGAATGTATTGCGTATCTTACGCAACGAGTGAATAAGGCGAGCGTCGTGACGCCTGTCGTGAGCCCTGTCGAAGCGTGAAACACGCGCGACAAAGAAGTATCGTAGTTTAGAGGTAAAACCAAAGATCCTTTTTAAGGGCTCCTTCTTTCTTCTAGCTCGCGCTCTCTCAACATATTTAGGTGTTCTCGCGCCTGGCGGATTCTAATCTGATTCTATCACGAAACCTGCGAGGAATTACTTCGAAGAGAACTATTCTCTTGCGCAACATTATATCATTGAAATACGGCCAGCGACAAAGAACAAAGGCAGTCCTACACGTGGTCAGGATTTATTCTGCGCTTTGTATACGCATCTCATCACCCGATAGCTGCCGATAGGTAAGCTAGCTGTAAAGCAGTCAGCGCTTTTGTACGGATTCATCGTGTAGATTTCAACCAGGGTTTTTATGCCGCAAGTCTTTTCCCTGACGAGCCAAATAATGTGTACTATTTAGTACTGTGACTGGGCTCAAAAATATTGGCCTTATTTATAATTATTCTCCTATCCTCATTCCCACCAAATATACAATCTCGATTCACACGTGACGGCATTTTCGTTCACGATATAAACTACTAGAGTACCGGCGTCAAGGCGTCGGTCGTCGACAGAATGCATTATTCTTTGATAATATATATGATAGTATATGATATATTCTTTAATAATATTGTAATAGAATTTACAATAATTGTATTAAATTATTAATATTTAATGTGTGTGTGTGTGTGTGTGCATTTATTATATACTTTAAAGTAATGCATTTATACATATACTTTAAAAAGTAGTCATTTAAGGCATTCAAAATGATTTGAAATATCCGTGTACGTGTAAAAAGGTTTCATTCATACATGCATTCATATGATATAATGCAGTGTATGTCGACAAAATTTATGTTTCGTGTGTCTGTACGGCAAATATCTTCATTTCTATGTAATTATTTTGACATTCTTACGCAGTGATGACTTCGGTGGGGTAAAATTTTCAGCGAAAAGAATATCACATCGAAATTATTTAATATTAAAAGTATGTCGATAACAATATGATATTTAAACCAGTACATATGAGTTACAACAAGCTGAAATATAAAGAGAGTGCATTAAAGTATTAAAATAATTGTTAATTAATCGATGCAAGTGTCTAACGTTGTCTTAAAGCTCGGAGAATATGATCTATGTACCGTCCTCTTCGAAATTCGCCATTGAAATGGGCCTTTGTCTTTTATGGAAATATTTTTATTAAATTTTGTTTATGTGCCCTTCCAAATGTTGCGCATGTGTATAGAGAAAATAATCCACTTAATTAATAAAATTTAAGATTATATTATAGTATTTTTATCATTTATATGTAATTCTTTCAGTAAATGTATATTTGTTTTAATGTTCTTGCGCAGTGATGACTTCGAGGTGGTGGGGTAAAATTTTCATCTAATAGAAAATCAGATTTAAATTATTTAATATTCAAAGTATGTTAATAGCTATTTATTGTTAAATGTTGAGCCAATATTTATAATTATGTTGATACTAAATTGTTATTTTATACGTAATTTGAAAGAAAAATTCTAGTCATTTTGGCCTAAAAGAGTTGGACTAAAAGACAGACTATTATCGTTAATTACGATGGTTGAAATCTCGTCGACGAGATGCTTATTATAAGATTACGAAGCTGATCGTTATGCGTAATAAAATAAATTACGATTATACGTATATTAACATATTTTAATATAAAAAATAAGTTGTACAAAATTTCTTAGATTTACGTAGATCTTAATGCATACGATTTATGCTATGGCGTTCTTGCTGAATATTTTTTTTACTGCTGATGTCAGTACAGCTGATGCTTCTATATACGTGACACGTGACTTTTTATATAACCACGAATACAGGATTCTTTGAGTGAAACATTATATTCATTCGAATGCCTTTCAATGTTGAATTGTAATTACGGACTATATATACTGTATCATTCTCGTCGCGATGTTTTTTTTTAATCAAGAAAAAGATTAATTGAGACTTTTATTTCTTCTCTTATTTTCTTTCCTTAACGAGTAAGACTGGTTAGATCAATTATTTGTGCTTACATTTGAATAATATTGTATCTCATTAATCCAACACATTGATATCTATTACAAATTCTTATATTAGAATGACTAATGAAGATCGTTAAGAATACTTGGATAATTTAGTATAATTTTGTATCCAACGAAGGATGTAGAAAACTTCTGACAGTCGATTCGATCGTTCGTTCGTTCTATCGACTACAACAATCGTTATTTTCAATCAACCCGTCGTTCTCTACATTGAACGGTGTTCCACCACTCGCATCGGTTTTTTTCCTTGCTGAAGGCCGTTCCAACAGGACATAGAGAAGACGTTCTTGACCAACCCGAACAATTATGAAACACCTAAGAAAAAGATGAAAATGGAGGCCACAATGATCTCTGAACTTACTTACATTTTATAGGTTTTTTTTGAACTTTTTGAAACGTGCTATAGTTAAAAGAGTCTCACCTTTTTAATACTTAAATATGCGTAATGGAATATTTTTGTTTATACTATTTTGGTAAGTTATAATTACTTGACGAATGGCAGTTTACGTGGCTGCATACATAAATAATGCTTTTCTTTTAATACGTTTTATGTAATATCAATTTTACAAGTAATTAAAATAAATTTACTCTTTATACAATTTGAGATAAGAATATAATTTTTGTATAAGATGGAACCTTTTAGTTTGAAAATATTCCGTATTTTAATCTCTTAGCAATATACAGAATGTAGATAGTATTAGCGGTTGGGTGAAAAAATAGGAGGGGGAGAAAGTTTCTATGAAATGTTTCCTCGTTCTTCTTCTTTTAATTCACTTTCTCATTCGATTATATTCCTTAATTCCAGTAAGTTTAATATACAATAGTAATTTAATATAGAATCTTTTACAACGAGGATTTTCTAAATAATTTTATTTGTTATTGAAAATAATTGGAAAATAATTTGTCTACAAATTTAATTGAGAAGTATAAATATGTCTTTCATTTAATTAGAAAAAAGGAAGAAAAATCGTTAAAATGTTAATTAAGTTAAATTGAAATGTTTTATGCTAATATTATTAGGCAAAAAATTGATCTATAATTGATTTGAACAACAAATATGTAGTCTTCACTATTTTGCCATTTTGATTTACTTTCGCTTAATGTATACGCGTATTACGTATATGCAAATGATTTATCATTCTCAAATCGTTTCCAACCATTTCCTCATTACGTAGAAACTATATATGTATATATATATTTTTTTTTGTTTTCCTAGAAAAAATGTTATATGCGAAGTTTCGAAAGACCTCTCTTTGAAGAGGTGCAAATACCGTGCAAACATAGTCTCGAAAGTTAACCGCGATCATTTTCAGGCCAATTTATTATTGATTATCTAATCATTGGATTTAAAGTAATAGCATTTAATACGTTAGACGAACTTACTTGACACTTGGTTTCTATATCGGCAAACATACCCTTCCTTCCGCGACAAGAAAATCCAGTTTCTGGAATTTGTGTGAGATTCGTGTAACTAATGTTAGATGTAATTGGTCCAATATTACGATAACCACTGGAATGATTATTCGTACGAGTATTTTTTGAATTGTATTTGTACCGATCTGCGTCGTTGTCATTGTTTTTATCATTGGATTTGCTGCTAACGTGTCTCAAAGATCTTCCATGAAATTCGTCGAGAAATCCTTGATAATCCGTTAGAATCTGTAAAATATACGTACGCCACGTTTATCAAGATAATAGTTGAAAATTTGGAATAAAATGATATCAACAATTTTGATTATATCATAGTAGTATTAAAAATGATTATTTTTAAGTATGTTTATTTTTAATATGTTTTTCCAACTCATAGTAAACAATAAATATACCGCGAAAAAAAAAATATAATCTTTATTATAATATAATTAAAAAATTGTAAATTATGTGTACTCACACACCCCAAATTTAATAAAAAATGATAATTTATAATATTGAAATTCAATAATATTGTGTAATTATATAGAAATATAAATTTAATGGTTAAATTGTTGTCGTTATGGTATAAAAAATAAAGTTTATTTTTTGTTTTACTTTCTATCATCAAGGTATTATAACAATAAGCGATCATTTCACGAAGATTTGTATGCTTGATAGATGGTACGTATAGATGGTACGTATAGATGGTACGTATAGATGGTACGTATAGATGGTACGTATAGATGGTACGTATAGATGGTACGTATAGATGGTACGTACTCATTCTTATATTAGTACTTATTCTTTCGTTCTTTCGCGTCTAGTATAAGGTAACATACATATCTTCTCATGTCAGCCTAACCAGGTAATATTAGAAAACTGTGTGTTGTACTGTGGTAGTACTTGTGGTGTGCTCGTCGATCGTCAAAGTAGGTAAACTAATAGGATTCGCCTATGCCGGTGGCATTTGTTACCTTTCACGGTCTGTGTATATTGCTTGCAACATCTGCATTAGCTATTACATACGCTTGCCGATCGATCTGATTATGCATCATTCTTTAGAAATAATGAAAACGAGAGAATAAATAAACAACTCGTTCAAATATTTGAATAAAAATTAAAATAACCAAAGTTACTTTTTTTATAATAATAATAATAATAATAATTATAATTATTGCTCTATAATATTATTTAAAAATGATTATTATTATTAGATATACGATATATCATTTTGTGTAAATTAATTAAGAAAAATAATTAGCAAAATATGTATAATTTACAACACATACCAAATTATTATATATAACTTATATTAACAAAATAAGTGACCCTTTTACAAAGAATTACAAAAAAAGCAAGTTACCTGATGAGAATTAAACAGAGCAATATTATCGACATAATAATTGTTGAAGGGTTGATAAATAGTATCCCAATCATATTCAAGATCCCAACTAGGCAAGTATGGTCGATTCAAGAAATTAGGATTCGCTGGTAACATTAATTGTTTCACTATTGGTTTGTAAACACCAGGCTTGATAGGTGGAATTAACGGCACGAATTGTTGTCTGTGATTAGGATACGGTTCTTGTTGTTTATTGTGTCCTCGATGATGTTTGTAATTTCCAAAGTTATTCGTTGGCTTGTCATGTTTTCCGAAAGGCGTTCGAATAATATAAGTTGTGTCCACGGCTTTCGGACGATCATAGTGCGTTCGACCTTCGGGTGAAACGTATCGACCATCAGGAGTCAGATATACCTTTAATCAAAATTATTTATTTTACCATATTTATTATATGTGAAAATAATAAATTGTGATAGTAGGCTAAACAAAAAAATATATAAAACAATTAATTTCATGATTTCTTTTCAATAAAAACTTGTTTACGTTATCAGATACATAAATTATGAAGTAAATTTTATTCATTTTTTTATTTTTTGACTTATGTTAGCGCATTCTTCAAATTACCGGCACATATACAATACATGAGAATATTATCTCTCTCTCTCTCTACACATTTTAAAGAAATTAGATTGAAATATTTAAATATGTGTTAAAATTTAAATATTTACTGTTTTGATCAACGATTAATGCTGGAATTTTCAATAAAACTAACTGTAATGGTATTGTTTTTTTAGATTTAAAATATTAAAACTTTGATAATCGGATAAATTTACTTTGATAATTTTAGGCATATGTTGCGAAGTATGTGGATGTTTGTGAATGTGTCTAGCGTCGAGTACAACGCCATCCGGTATCGAAATGCCTTCCTTGTTCAACCGATTTAGTGCCAAACGATCAGTCCTGAATGCTTCCTCAGGTATTTTCCCACCAAGAGCCGGTAACACCTGTTCCCTAAAGATTTGACGTTTTTGCTGCAACAAAAATCTTGAGGATTTCGCGTGCCAACTATATTTTTTTTTTAATATTTTCATTATTTTAAATAACCAAGACAATATTTATGCAAATTCTCCATATAAGTCACGCAAATTAATGAGATATTTGAATACTTAGCAATAATAGAGAGAGAGAGAGAGAGAGAGAGAGAGAGAGAGAGAGAGATAGAGAAAGAAATAAGATTAAACAAAAATTATCTATCGTTCGACACATAGTAAATAAAAATAAAAATAGAAAAATAAGAAAAATTATCAATTTTATAATTTATTATGTTTCTAAATTTTGGATAAATTGATTTTGAAAAATTACGACATATTTTTAAAATCATTTTCAATAAAATAATATATCTTAAGAAAAATTCATATAACAATTAATAATATTTAAATTATTACAATTCGCTCTTTAAACATTTAGAACAAGAGTTTTCTTAATAAATGAAAATAATATCAAATATATTATTATAATAATAATTCGAAAATGATAAATGAAGGCACTTTAGATATTATAATTTTAATTAGTGTAATCAAATGAACTCTCTCACTTTCTCTTTCTATCTCTTTTTTCATTTTTCTTATACCAAATAGATAGCAATTTAACCTTTTCAGCAGTTGCAACGGAAAATAATAAAGCCGCAAGAATCAATGTCAGCTGACACCAATTATTATTGTTAAGATTATTCTTATTATTATTCTTATTATGGTTTTTTATTCCGTTTCCGTTCATTTTAATCAACGTACAATTGGTCGATCAATTGATCAATCAATTCGGTTTCGGCTCCAATATTTGAAATCTATACGAGTGATCTCATTCTTTCTATCTTTCTTGACTTTGCTTAATGATGTCAGATATGCTGATGTATCGTTCTTTCTGCAATACAATGACGAAATATGATATTTAACCGTTGAACAAAATACAAGATGCCTTTTAATTTAAAAAGATATCGTATATCGTGAATACATATAAGTACTGTAAATTTATGATATTTTTAATATTATGCAATATATAGTATTATTATTTTTTTTATAAATTATGTAAATTATTAATTATTATTATGTCTAAGTATAAATTGAAGCGAATAAAATTTAATAAAATGATTAATTTCATTTAAATATCGAATAATATAAAAAGGGACATATTTTATAGGGGATATATTTTATAATTCTTTTTAAAATTAATATATAATATTTTAGTAATATTAATTAATTCTTTAATAATATCGAAATATTATATTTGTTATTACTGTGTATTTGAAATAATAATATATAGTATATACTATTTGATTTAATTCTTAAACGAATCATGCAATCCAAAGGTTTCATTGTAAGTAGAAGAAAATATTTTCCATATACTATTATATTATATTTTTCTTCTATACTATTTTTTTAGTTATTAGTATATTTTTTTTTTTTATATTCTTCTATACTTTTTATTCTATACCATTTTTCTAAAAGGTCTTCATAACAATGATGCTATTAAAAGTTGAAGTATTTAAGAAGAAAAAAAAAGAAGTCAATCGTTATTTCGTTTAGAATCACTACAGCTAATGGAATGCACATTCGTTACTTCGTCCCGCGTATTCTCTCGCGCGCATATATTCGAATTATGCAACATCCGGTAGTCACGTGTGTTCTAGAAAGATGAAGAGATAAAAAACGAAATAGATGCACCGATAGGCGAGCATGTGTGAACTCTCTCTTGCATAGATTTGTTAAATGCAAATTAAAATATCCGGAATCTTTCACTTATTTTCGACGCTAATCCTTATATTTCATTTTCATTTTATTTTATTTCTCATGTGGAGCAAGGATACAGATAAATTTGATCAAATTTAAACATTAAGAATAGAAATTGTTTCAATCACTTCATCGAAACCAAAGGAATAAATTAAATGGATTTAAATTGACATTAATAGGGATAATTTGATTTCTTTCATAATATTTCGGAGATTTTTCGTATGAAACAAGGATTTCATTTTGTACGTCAGGGTTGCGTCAGGTCCATCAAACGTTATATTTGGTCTTCGCCATTTAACAAACCGATATTATCGCTACTCTCAGTAGGATCTCATAGCCTTGTTCTAATTACGTTCCTCACGAGAAGAAACTGTTGCAATCATCTTCATCTCTATCTCTTCATCTCTATCTCTTTCTCTCTTTGTCGGTAAATATACTCTTATGTATCTATCCATCTTTGACTGAAGTTCGCTTCGTGTTAAATTTAAGATTTCGATTTGCTTCATTTATTCGAATCAAGTTGTCCTTATACTATTATGTGAAACATTAGCAACAAAATTACATTACAAATCGCAAGATATTTTTGACTACAAAATAAACAAAAATATATTTTATATATAAATTGAATGTTATTGTCAATTTAAGTTTTTGTTAAAAACTATTAATTTTTTAATATTTTTACGAAACTACATAATTATTGTCGCAAAATTGACAGGATGACAAATATTCTATTTTAATTCTATTCACAAACTATGATATACAATATATATTACATCACGAATAATGAAATAAAATGAGACATTCATTCAATAATTGTTTTATTTTTCATCGCGTAACTGAACTTTCAATTCGTTACGTGAATTATTTTGTTAAATATCCGTTTGAGTCTCACGCAACGTTTTGATTTCATGTCAAAAAATCCCAGTACATTTGAACGCTATGAACAATTAACGATGCATTCAGCATCTGTCGAAATAGTGCACTCAACCTCACTAAAGTATGTAAATCACATCGCTATTGCGCTGTTTGGCATTTTTCGACAGTGTTTTTTTTAAATTCTTTGCGATCCAAACGGATATATTACAGAGATCGATATAAATATTATATGTGCTGGTAATTATGACACTGGATTAAGTTAAAAAAATAGGAAAAAAAATAAATTTTATTATTTATTAAATATTCAAATGATTTATACTATAAAATAAGGCATCAAATAAATTTGTAGAATTTTTTGAATTATTGTTCGTCCAGTATCATAATTCTGGTACATATATCAATTCCATAGGACGTATTATTAAAATACAAATGACTCGAATAGATAAATAAGGTATTACTTCGTAAGTAGACATGATATATAACGAGTGAATATAATGTGCGTGTGTGTGTTTAATGAACCTTACAAATCTTTTAAGAAGTTTCCTTATTCATTAATTAACGATTGCATGTGAGAAAATTGCAAAGCAAGTAATTACGAATACTATGTAAAGAAATAGTCATGTTCTCTCTCTTTCTTTAATTGGGATGCAAGTAGTGTCTTGTTCTCAGTTAACACACATACTTGAAGCATGTAATTTTATTTTCTTCGTCTCTTCACTATAAAAAAAAGAAGATAAGAAAAATTTAAGCAACATATATTTCCTTTATAAATAACTTTTATCTCTCTCTCCCTCTCTCTATCTTTATTTCCTTCCTTCTTTCTACTTTACAACGATGAGAGTATTACACAACATAGTTAGTTGTGTAGTAAAATACGTTCGAAGCGTATACACTCTCTCTGGTTCACACGATTTTAAGAGTGTGCGAATAATAGAGTGCGCGTTTGTTCGTGGTTAAATAATAACATTCTCAAACAACCACGTCGTTATTTTTCCTCATTCTTTCGAATTCTTATTTATTCTTTCCCTTTCTCTTCTTCTTCTTCTTCTTCTTGGTCTTCATTCTCGTTGAAATTGATAATTAAACAATTTAAATTAATAGTTTATCTTTTTTTTTGAATTTTAAATAAATGAAATTTATAGATAGATATTGGTCCAGTAAATGTGAACTTTTGGTTATACATAATATACTGTAATATGATAAAAAGAAATTAGTCTTTATACTATAATATATAATATAAATACAATATTCTTTTTCTCTGCGGATGCATGCTACGCTACTTCATTTGGTCTTGCTTGCTTCTATTTAACTTTTTCTCTACCTCCCTGCACCTTTTTTCTTTTCTTTTCCTATCATTTGTTTTATTGTTAATCTTATCTTTGATCACTCTACCTTCTCACATTCTTTCCACTAATTATAAATAAAATATATATTTTTGAAGAAATTGGGGAATTTTTCTATAAAAAATGTTAAATACATTAAAAATATTTTCTCTTTGAAATATAATAGTTTTAAATAATTTGTGTATTTTCAATTTGTGTTTTCAATTTGTGTTTTCAATTTGTGTTTTCAATTTGTGTTTTCAATTTGTATTTGTTTTTAGTCCGATTGGAATATTGTCAATAAAAAAAAGTAATAATAATTGGAAAATTAGGATTTTCCTTTAAAACAAAAAATGTATTATAATTATTTCATAATACAGTATTATTGTTATTGTATCTTATTTCTATGTAGAAGAATAAGAAGAAAATGAGGAACGAACAAAGAGAATGTTGACGATAAACGTAATTAGAATTTATAACAAGCTTAGGTGATTACTTCGGTAGTGAGGTGTGACTTAATCCTTGTTTTACGAAAGAACAGCTGGTTTGATCGTTTTGTGCTCTCGAGACGTTTTACTTTTACTTTTCGTGCATTTATTTTGCCCTCTGAAGGAAAGGAGAAATAGAAACAGAGAAGTTTCTGAAGGTTAATTATGAATAAAAGGTCGTTTATATTCTTACTATCCGGAAACAATAATTTCGTAGAATAGCTTAGCTATAAATTTCTTATATCAACAAGAAAATTGATGGGAAGTCAATGGGAAGTAAATGGGAATTCTATGGGAAATTTACTTCTTTAACGCTATCCAAGACATTTCCAGTAATCGTGATATTATAAAAGGCTAAGATATTTGCTGGTAATCGTCGTTTTGTAGAAAGTTGAACATCTTTCGACGAGAGAGAGAGAGAGAGAGAGAGAGAGAGAGAGAGAGAGAGAGATGAGAGATGAGAAAGTTAATAACATTGCTTGATATAATTCTTGTCACTTAACGATTCGATTTCGGATAAATCGATTTGTTTATATCGATTATTGAACTGAGTTTATATATTGCATAAGATATGTGCGAAAACGCAACGGAAGTGAAAGGAATTTCGCGATGAGATACATATATCATCTAGTATTCTAAAACGTTACATAAAATCGAATCTGTTCGCGCATTATTTTTCTCAACGGTTGAATACGATTTATGTAGTACAGTAGCTTATCAATGATTTATATAATACTCTTTTTTTCTTCTTTTTTTTTAACGAATATTCTTAATGATTTCTACATTTTTTTTAAAGGTTGTCAATCTAACAGTTGAATCGAAATTAAAAAAATAAGACTACAAATAAGATTATTGCGAGAGTACTTAAAATATTGAAAATCTCGTAATAGAGAAGAAAAGAATAAAGAAAGATAAATGAAAAAAGTTTGATTGCGAAGTGAGACAAACTAAAAGATGAAATATTAAAAAAAAAAAGTAAAACTAGTTAGATCGTAGATTGCAATAAATTTCGCTTCATCTTTCAGCGCTCATGAAAAGTATTAATTAATTACGAATTAGTAGTAATTAAATTCTAATCAAGTTTACAAAGGACAAGAAATTCTTGGCGTGGGTTGGGGGGAGAGAATAAAAAAAAAAAAGAAAAAATATGAGCAAGATGTCCAGAGAGTAATTAGTCGCGATAAATTGCTCGACGTGCTTTGATTCGCGTGGCATGTGCTTAATGATGTGCCCTAGGCGAAAGACAAGTAAAGTGCAAACGTTCGTTCGAATATTTCATCCCGTATTCTTTGCAACTCGTTATCGATCGATCGATCATCCGTCAATGATCGATTCAATTTTTGATCCAAATTTTGACAAAATTTTGACATTTGTTCCCAAAATGATTATGTTATTTTCTTAAAACAACTTATGTCAAAAATATGTGATTTCTATTTATGAAAAATCATTTTATATGACATTTGTTTTAAAAGCGATTATTGTGAGATTTTAGTTGAAAAAATGGAACGAATGTCACGTCTTTGGAAGTGGACGGACGGTGGGCTTTCATAACGTGAAAGGACTATTGGTCTTTCTCTCTCCCTCTCTCTCTCTCTCTCTCTTTCTATTGTCTCTTTCTTTCCGTACTTTCCCCTGATCTCGTGACGAGAATAAAAGCAAAAAGAGAGAGAGATGGAGGTAGAGGGAAGAGATGGCAAACAAGAATTAGAAACACTTTGAAGAAGGTTAATTACTCTCGCTTTATCCTTCATCGAAGTGAAACGTCTTCGAAAGGATAGCTAGAGGTCGATCAAAGCTTCCTTTCTTTTGTAATATCATCCTTTTTTTTATTTTTACAGCATACTTGTAATTATCGAAAGATAATTAATAATTTATTAGAAAAAAAAAAAAAACAAAAAAGGTACATGTAGTACACCTACCTTTGCGATTAAATATCAGATTTTTCTGTCAAAACTAATCTTACAGAAATAAGGACACGACACTCTCACTTTACTTAGAAATTTTACACTATCTTCTAGGTTGGAAGTTATTTTAAATACACAATATTAATATGTAATAACTTTCAAAATTGTGTCAAATAGACGATTTACTATCCAACCTTAAACAATTTTCTTTTTCTTCTTTGTTTATGCGTGTGTGTGCGTGTGCATATTTCTTTTCTTCTTACTTAAAAACACAGAATCTCAAAATGTATTAACTTATTTAACTCTAATTTCCACACATTGATCACAATTAATTTAATATAATATATTGTAATATAATAATTGATCAATTTTGTTGACTAATTTAAATTGTTGTTTTTTTGTTTTCTCTTTATGTTTGATCTTATTTATTTATTTGTTTGATTAAACATTCGTTTGAGAAATGTGCTAACTTAAAACTGAAAATAATTGTCAAATAGATGAAAAATTAGATCAACGATAGCTACGTTTGTACATTTGTATATGTATGTGCGCGTATATGTTTTTCATGTAAATATGTATGAATTGATAAGACGATCTCACGAGTTAATAAATTGCGTGAAAGAACGCGAGAATGGTTATTGGCCAAACGGTTTCGAATGAAGAAGTTGAAGGATGGTGAAGATGTTACTGAGCCTGCCGGCAAGAGTTCTCTTTGTGATATACTCAGGGAGGTTCAAGCACGTGATTCGAGTACGAAACTCACTTTCACCGGCTCGACCGGGATAATTCCGAGTTTATTTCTCTCTTTCTAACTTGTAATATGTGTAGATATCGGAGGGGTGATCGACGTTACCACAGTGACCGATACTACATCTCAATGACGATTTCAAATTACTCAGATGTCCTCGATTTATCAATCCATTTATCCACAAATCGATGCATCGATGCATGATTTTCCATTGATTTTCTTTATTCGATTTATCTACTTTTTCTATTTTTCTATTTTTTTTTATTTTATTTTAGTAGAAACCTTTATCGATAATAAAGTGAAGCGTTTCGATTGAAAAATTTGAATAACGTCTTTTTGTTTTCATTTTTGCTTGAATTATCAACCGATCGATCGATTTATGGATCTTTATTTTTATTTTGTTAATGCTTTAATATCAACATTTCAAACAAAATGGACTAAATTCAAATTTGTTTCAAATTTAAGTTATTTATTTCGAGTCATTTATTTTCATGCTTCTCTTCTTTTATGTTCATTTTATTGTTAATGCAATATCATCAATAATATTAATTAGTGTGTGTTTGATTATTCAAATGAAAAACTATATTAATTTAATTTGATTAAATTTACGTAAATATAATAAATATAATAAACATACACACTAGTACATATAATAATTTCTCTCTCATTTCATGCGATTATGTTTTATCACTCTATGAAATCGTCGTATTCATGTAAGAAGGTAACACGCAATAGGTGCAAATGATACACAAGTAATGATTATAACTGTATTACTAAAAGCTTTCCTATGATATTATAACACGCGTATTATGTGTTACGAATAAAATTTATAGTCAGCAATGGCTGACATTGAATACAAATTAGAACGTGGGAGTTGGATTTTACTTAATCTTTTGTATAAAATACCAGCTGTAAGATCGATCATTCATTCATATACAGAAAATAATCCGAATGCAATGATCTGAAGTTTTTCTAAAGCAAACAATTATTCCACTTCTTATTTTTGTTCTTTTTTTATTATTAGAGAGAGTGAACTTAAAGTTCGTGTGTGTGTGTGTATTTTTTTTTATTAATATTTGAGGAATATTTGAGCATATTATGCTTATTTTATGGAGTAATTTCAGTATTACTAATATTGTTAATAAATAAAAATAAAAAAATGTTGGAAAGAAAAACTCGCGCGCGAATTTAAAATTAAATAGATTTTTCATTTGTCTCGTTTTGTTTTTCAAGCACTAGGCTACTCATCCGCAAGCAATTATATATGTATATATATTTTTTTCTATCTTCGCAAAACATTCAGAGAGAAGATCCATGAGTGTTTCTTACGGCGTAATACGATTTACGGCTATATTTCACAAGTGGCTCGAATCAAGGTCTCTCTCACGTGGTGCACGCGAACGTTAGACTCTCTTTATTATCTCGCGACATTTCATCCAACGACGAAACGCCGACGAACGTGTCGCTTTGCTATCTTTCTTCTTTCTTTTTCCCTTCCCTTTATAACAATCGCGAGTAAGATCTTGTGCAAGTGAAATTTGACGTAGTAGATTGATTTCAAAAAGACTTATAAGTTAGGTTAATGAAGTCATTGTAATCCTAATATGTTTGTGATCTTAATGATATGTATAGGGTATCCTATTTAATTTTACTTTCTTTTAATATTTCAATTCTTAGAGATATGGTACATAGAAATAAAAAAAAAAAAGGTTTATGTAATATTTGGTATTAATTAATCTCCAAATTCTTGTAGTATATATTTTTAATATTTTATATCTAATTAAATAATATTACTATAATAATGATTAGATACGAGATGTCAAATTGATTGTAAACGGAATCCCTCAAACCCGTCAAAGAGAAAGTAATATAATAAGATAATAATAATAATAGTAATAATTATAATTTAAATAATAAATATAATTTGTTACAAATAAGTATGATTATCAGTTTTCTAAATAAAAATGTCTAATAAGAAAATCGAAATTTCGTAAATATTATATTACGATTATTTATTTATGTTTTTATAAAAAGAAAACATATATATATATATATATATATGCAAGATTTTTTTTTATTTATTTAAGAAAGTAGTAATTTAATTGATTTATTTAATACTGTTTAACAGTAATTATTAAACGATTCGAGAATATAAAGGAGATAGAACGATAAGCATCTATAATCTAAATTGACAATCTACTGCCACGACATATTAGGTGTTACTCTTTATGCCGTAATCTGTACTCAACTCTTCGTCGCACATCGTCGTCTTTCCGTGTCCCTTCACCGTCACCCGTTGTCTACCGTCTTCCTCGTTTTCTTTCATACCCAACACAACACAATCGTCGTATAAACAATGAACTTTATCGGACTGCCCCCATCCACCGGCCCTTTCCGTCGCCCATATATGCTTAACATCCCCTCCAACGTCTCTCGCCATTTTAGATGGCCTCGGGATCCGATTGCAACAAAATTAGCACCATTCRATTCAGCGTCGTCGAATTCCATTATATCAAAAAAGCGACTACTCCGATGAAAAAGTGGAAGTTTGGCCCTTGTTGACTGGCCTATCTAACGAAACGGTTTCTTTTTCTTTCGTCACCGATACATTCTCTCACCCATCTATACTCATACTGTCATACATATGACAAATAAAGAATAACATTTACTTGGTGATACTTATAAAGAAATCGTCTATTAATAGTTTTAGAACTTCTCGAATATTCCCCAATCCTACATATATATTATTATTATTATTATTAAAATATTTCAATATAAAATATACTGTACTTTATTAGTTAATTTAATATTTTATAATCAACTTATAAGATAACAAAACACATGTTGTACATATAAAAACATATATACATACATATATGCGTGTTCTCTTCTTACATGTAATACGAATTACCGATTTCTCGGTAAGATAATAAAACAAATGAATAAGAATAGATCGTTTTCTCTGCATGATGTAAGGGGCAAAGGAAAAAACAAACAATAACAAAAATAATTATTTGAAACTTATAACAAGTATGAAAAAGAAAGCACACCCCTCGAGATCTTCCGGAAGGTGAATCAATTGAAATCTACACTTTTTAAGAGCGATATAATAATCGTGAGAAATACTTACTTACTTACTTACTTATAACAATTTTTAATTGTCAGATGTGAATTTTGTACGTTTCCGGAATTATAATTGTTCGTGAATCAATTCGACGTTAGGTTTCTCAATTTCTTTCGAGAGAATCAGTTTATCATCATTTTTTGCCTCTTCGTTTATTTTACTTTGAAAATCGTTCTTTTGTAACTTATTATAATCTTTTTTAAAGATATATTTTAATATAATTTTAATTGGCTCGGTAGAATTTATGGCATTATCAGACGATCCAACTGTCACAACGTAAATCACCAGTTTACTTTAAACACTTTATATACGAAACCCACAATGTAAATTCTACATAATGTTCAAACAGTGTTCGGAAAAAAGTCCAAGTTGCAATAGGTAAAAAATATTTCATTTGACGTTACTTCATTTAATTCTATTTTATTTTGTTATAATCTCTAAACAGTATATATTACATACATACTTATATTTCAAACATTATATCGTGACATCACGTTTAATTTTACTATCACTTACATTAGCGTTTACCTTTCACAAACTCGTCTCTGTATTTGATTACTCTCGGATGTTAAATAAATAGATAAAGAAGTCAATTGTAAATTAGACCAAAATCATAAAGAATAATCGTCGAGTTGTCTGATGTTACTATAACTTTCTAAATTGGAATCAAACATGGTTTTTCGAATTGCCTGGTTAATTTATTTAAACAATCTTTGATCTGTTCCCGTATATACTTTTTCCTAATTAAAATTGGAATGATGTCCACATATAAAAAAAGTAATATGAAGAAAAAAGAAGGAGAAGAAGAGAAAAATAAAATGAAAAAGAGAAAAATAATAATGATGGCCGTGTTCCTTATTTGAGAAGATTTCACTTATGTCTTTCTTTTATCTCACACAGAAAGTTCGTTAAATTCAATCGTGTTCCCGTTTTAAGTTAGTACGCCCACGTATTGAACTTTGATCTCGGCTAAGTTCTTTCACGATCTTGTTACTTGAAATGCAACGTCCAAGGATTTGTCTTTTTTTGTGAAAGACACGTTGATTATTTTTCGTAACTTTGAAGAAAATGATAACATTTATGGAAGAAAGACATATTACTCGTATTTTATATTTTTTATTAGTCTTTACTTATTACTTAAGAAAACTATGACCTAAAGGTTTACTATATATATCTCAGTTTATGAACTTGCAAAATGACAAAATTCGTTATTATTGTTAATCATAGACAGTTATTAGCATTCTTTCGTCGTGTAAATTTTAATATTGTTTCGTTTTCCAAATTTTACAAATAAAAATGTAAAAAAGAACAAATAATAATTATATAAGTGCACTTAGTATTACAATGCACATAGACACGCAAAATTAGTTTTTACAATTAATGTGTAAAAAAGATTATCTATAAAATGGAAGAAAAGACGAGTATAAAATGAAGTATATTCATTATGTCATTCGACATAAATGAATAACAAATAAACGCATATATAACATTATTAGATAAATAATAAATAATTAAGAAATAAATAATTAATCTCTACAAAATATATAAAATGTTTGAAAATAAAATTCGTTAAAAGTCGTGAAAAATTTGGATTCAGCAAGGACGCCAAGAATGAAAAAAGTTAGTGAACCACTGGACTAATAAATGATTACAAATCGACGCGAATACGCGTATAATAAATATATATCCATATAATATAAAAAAGAGACAAAATGAAGAAGAATGGTGCGTAAAATAATTGCGTTTTTTCCCCTCTCATAATTATTATTAATCACGATTGCAAGATATTATTATAACAACGTATAGATAATACAATACATAGTATGAGTAGGAAGACTCCAATTTTCTTGTTACATCATATTTTTTCTCGTGTCTTTTTATATTTGCAATGTAACCTTGATTAATGATTCTACTCTTCGTGGAAATACTTCGAAGTGGGATCGTGTAGTTAAATAAAGTAACAAACGAGAGGATCACCGCGATCAGTCGAGGAAGTAACTTTAACGAGATAACTTTCTCTATCTCTATTCTTTGTTTATTTTTCTCTTACTGTTAAGCGAGATTGAAAATTACGTCAAAATGCAACGGTGGGCTGGTAAAATAGCTATAGTTACTGGTGCGTCCAGTGGAAATGGATTAGCAATAGCTAAAGCTCTTGTACAACATGACGTTGTTGTGGTTGGATTTGCACGAAGAAAAAATAAAATGCAGGTAAGCATTTTAATTGAACTTCTTTTTAACTTTTTCTTTTTGTTTTTATTTCTAAATGGATTTTCATATCATAAATAAAGAACTCTATGTTATTTTGATGGTAGTAACTGTTTAGTATTGAAAATATTGTGGATATTAATTTGTTGTATTAATATATTGTAAAATATTATATTGTTTTGTAATATATGTATATTATGTTATATAATATTTCTAACAGTAAATTATATCATATATTCATTTATTTATCAAATTATTTAGATAAAAATAATACATTACTGTATACATATGTATACTAACATTGTATATAATATTGTTGTTAATATCATATATTCATTTATTTATCAAATTATTTAGATAAAAATAATACATTACTGTATACATATGTATACTAACATTGTATATAATATTGTTGTTAATATCATATATTCATTTATTTATCAAATTATATATACAACATTGATCTGTATACATTGTGTATATATATATACGTACTATACACGTACTATATACGTACGTATTCTATTATCAAAATAAACAATAAGTTACGAATTGTTGATTAGACCGAGATGCAAAATGTTAAGGGAAAAGATAAAGGAAAGTTTTATGCTGTCGAATGTGACGTCACTAAACCTGAAAGTATCGAACAAGCATTTCAATGGGTCAAGAACAATTTGGGTGTGGTTCATATTCTAGTGAACAATGCTGGTGTTTCAACAAATAAGAAATTTATGGGTACGAATTTAATTATTAAACATTTGAAATTATTTGAAACAAATCAAAAATAAAAAACGAATTTTTTCATTTTGTTAGATTCGTCCAGACTCGATTGGGAAAAATTATTCAATACCAATGTGTTAGGATATATCGATTGTACCAAACGTGCAGCTAAAATAATGATGGATGCTAATGTGGAAGGTCATATTGTTAACATGAATAGGTTTGATAATGGATTTTATGAAAGTTTTCATTGTTATCATCTCGATTGTTCTTAGATAAAAATAATTGATATTAATAATTTTTTCATTATTTCAATATATTTATTTATATACATTTTTTTGACGATAGTACCGGTGGCCACGAAATAATAACTTTTGATGGTATGACTGTTAATTTGTACCCAGCATCCAAACATGCTACTCGTGCTGCTACCGAGATCACCCATAAGGAATTTTATGGTAGCAAAATACGAGTTTCGGTGAGTTTATGTCAAATTTATATGTCAAAGAATTTATTAATTCTCTGTAATTGAATTTTGTTGCATTGCTTAAAAAGTTATTATTCCATAACATACAACATAATGTATTCTACTCGCATATTTGATATATTTATTATTATATTAATATAATTAATATTTGCATTAATATACTATACTAAATTTTATAATTGATAAATAATTATTTTTTTATAAAATAATGAAACACAGTAGTTGATTTAAAATATATAAATATTATAATTTTCAAATTATATACAAATATATGAAGGGTTAAAGATGAAATCAAAATAAGAGAACATATAAATGAAGTCGAATAAATTTATATAATTTTTATGATATTGCATTATTGCTTAATTAAAATCTATTTTAAAAATATAGGGCATCAGTCCAGGATTGGTAGCTACGAATATCACCAAAGCTAATAATTTCGATTTATCAAACGTAAATATGAATCAACCCATGTTGGAACCCAGTGATATCGCAGATGCCGTTATTTATATTATTGGAACTCCACAACGTGTTCATATTTGTGATTTAGTTATTAGACCATTTGGAGAACTTAAGTATGAGGGCCAAAAGTAAGATTATTTACAATATTATTACAATTAAATTTTATTCGCCAATAACACGTATCGATATTAATACGTTGAAGTCTAATAGAGGACTGATTAAAAAACAATATAAGTAATCGAAACATTTTGTGTTTATAAAACCAAGTTAGTAGTAA